GGGGGGAGGTTGAAGGAAGGAGGGGAGAAGCATATAAGTAAAGATAAGGGCAAGAGATTTTTAGCTGCCAGGGAAAGTAAAGAATATTAAATCCATAAAAACAATCAAGCAAACACAACTAAATTTTTTGCTTACACCTTTTCCACAAATGACACAAACCAAAAATCAAACATAAGTAGCCTAATTTTCTGAATTCATGAATATTTATATGTGAGAATGCTTGGTCCCCTTTATCACAAAATAAAAGAACTTTTCTAACCTTTATCTTCTGTCTGTATCTCTCCATTTGCAGTGGTTTCGTTTCTAAAAACATCATTTTTTGTTTGTTTCTGAACTCAAATTTCTTTGGTGCTTGATATTTTAGAGTAGAAATGTTAAATTTTACAGGAGAAGCAAAAAACTTATTTGATTTCATCAACTTGGCTGGCATCTTTATTTCCAACATTTCAGGAGCATTTCTAGTCATTATTCAGACCTGTCTTCAGGCAAAATGAAAAGTCCTAAATTCAAACTCACATTTTTCAAAACGGAGTACCAGGAGAGCGAATAACTTGAAATGCTACATCTCAGCTGCTATTTCTAATGAATACATGTGTATTTCAAATCAGTAAATGTCCATTAGCTCAGGTGATAATGTACTTTATGATATGAGATTAGTCCATATATATATCCACTGTGCAATATAAGACTCCATCATACATCACTTTTCAAAAAGGGGTGTAGCAGAGACTTACACTATCATATATGCAGTCAATACACAACACTATTTTTGCAATATGTGACTGATTTTCCCATTGCGCCTCACGTATGATACTGACTTGTTTAATTACATTGGAGTTATCTTTCCAACTGAACCTGCACACTTACAAAAGAGGTGTAAACCGTGCAAACCAATCCAATGGCCACAATAGAAACATCTGGGTCAAGGCCTGTCACTGAAAAGGAAAATACACAGCAGTTGTTACAAGAGAGGAATTGTTAAAATATACACAATTGTTCTGAAGGACCAGAGAAGTGGATATTATAACAGGCAATATAAAAAAAAATCCACCTCCCACTCCCCC